AATCTTTATTCTCTAATCAAGTGCTTGAGATAGCTCCCTACCTCCTTTTGCACTCTGCTGCAATTCCAAAAGAGGATAGCACTCATTGATTCTCCGAAGGGGACACATCCCCGCAGTTTTCATAATTAGGTAGGTTAAGTTTACTCTTCCTTGGTGCCTGTTGCACCCAGCCACTGAATCTCCTTTTCAAAATGAACTTTGGATGCCCTCTCCTTAGCCCTTTTACGCCCGTCAACCGATATAACCTTTGTGAGAATCTCAGGCGTGAAAATACCCCCGGGAAGTTTTAAAGAGAGGGCATGGGTCGCCCTTATTAGATTGCCCATTACCTTGCTTCTTCTCGGGATTTTCATGAGCATCTCGTGCTTTGTTGATGACCGCATAACCTCTCGACTTAGTGCCCTGCCCCTTTTCTTTACACTTATTGTTGCAGACCCTTACTGCCTAAAAAGATCTCTTTCTTCTTGTTCTTCCTGCTCATGACAAGGACCCAAGGCCAATAGAAACTACCTCCTTCCTTCTCATCACCCAAATATTGTTTGTTGATGGTTGCTGTATTCCCCATGTTCCACTAAGTTCTACCCTCTTCCGCTTCGACAAGACCCGCAGGTCTACCATCCATGGGTTGGTTCCTATCGCTCGAACAACAGCCTGCTGACCCCGCCCCTTGCCCACAAAATGGTGCACGGGCAGTTCGCATGAGCCCCCATGGGTCGGTTATGTAATAACAAAAAGTTTAAAAAATAGAAATAATATTAATAAATTTAAAAAATGAGCGTGGATGGTTTAGAAAAGATGCACCATGTCGTATAAGACTTATTTCACGTTATTTCCACATTTTCCCCTCATTCGAATCAACCAAACCGAAACACGATAGGGAAGGTCGCATAAGAGAAGGAACTACGGCGTTCTAATTCGGAGGAGAAAAGAAGCACGCTACTTGGGAATTGCGTCGAAACCTAAGCAGGAAAGAGGACATTGCTCAATCTTGTGCCACACAACGTCGCAGTTGAAGCAAAGATGTCTCATACCCTCGTACTCAATCAGCTGGAAGAATTTCTCTTGCCAACCTCTCACCCACACACCGATCGCGAGTTGCTTCGATAAGTCTATTCAAACACAAACTCGAGCATAAATGCTTCTTTCCCAGCTATTGATTTGGGCATCTGACCATAAAGCCCGGGTTACTTATAAGCCATAAAAAATCTTTAAGAAAGGATGCATTAAGCATGATGACTGATAGGAAAATAACAAGAAAACAAAAGCACATACTAGCAGCAATCTTCCATGCAATGTAAATCTAAAACTCGTACTATCAGTGATGATGATTCCAAATATGGAGTTTGATTTTGATAACAATTGATTTCAAAGTTTTTAAACGTGTGTTGCACGTGCAAAACGAAGAAAAGCATATGAAGCCAGCTTTGCTTTGTTGAAGCGCATTTTGAAGCACTGAAGCAAAGCGATCAATTATGTTAATAGTTTAGTGAGAGGGAATAAAGGGTTACTGAATTAAATTAACTTATTTTATGAAGCTTGAGACTTATGCTTTAAATTTTAGATTTTGTTTAGAGTTATAAGGTATTTCTATAATTTTTAAGTTTTTAATTATTGCATACCCTTACTTTAGACCCCTTTTCTTTAGACTTATAGTTGCAGACCCATACTGCCTAAAATGATCTCTTTCTTCTTGTTCTTCCGGCTCATGACAAGAACCCAAGGCCAATATAAACTACCTCCTTCTCACCACCCAAATCATGTTCGTTGATGGTTGCAGTATTCCCCGTGTTCCACTGAATTCTACCCTCTTCTACTTTGACAAAACCTGCAGGTCTACCATCCATGGGTTGGTTAAAACAAAGACCAGCCTGCTGACCCCGCCCCTCTTCCATAAAATGGTGCATGAACAGCTTTGCATGAGCCCCCATGGGTCGGTTTTGTAATAACAGAAGTTTAAAAATAGAAATAATATTAATAAAACTAAAAAATAGGTGTGGATGGTTTAGAAGAGATACACTCTGTCGTAAGAGACTTATTTCACGTTATTTCCACACTTTCCCATCATTTCAATCAACCAAACCGAAACACGAAAGGGAAGGTCGCAGAAGAGAAGAAACTACGTTGTTCTAATTCGAAGGAGAAAAGAAACTTAGGCACGCTGCGTGGGGATTGCGTCGAAACCTAAGTAGCAAGGAGTACATCGCTCAATCTTGTGCCACACAATGTCATAGTTGAAGCAAAGATGTCTCATACCCTCGTACTCAATCAGCTGGAAAAATTTTGCTTCCCAACCTCTCACCCACAAACCGATCGCTAGTTGCTTCGATAAGTCCATTCGAACACAAACTCGAGCATAAATGCTTCTTCCCCGGTTGTTGATTTGGGCATAATTTCTACCCTGATTGAGTGTTATATAAAATTATTGGCAAATCTTAGGTTTAGTCCCTAAATTTGTGGCTAGGTTAGGAGGATACTGGCTCCCACTCTAGTGCTCCCACTTCCCTTCCCCTGAAGGCTAACTCTCGCTTTAGTTTTTCCATAAAGCCCGGGTTACTTATAAGTCATAAAAGGTCTTTGAGAAAGGATGCATTAAGTATGATGGTTGATAGGAAAATAACAAAAAAAAGCACATACAAGCAGCAATCTTCCTTGCAATGCAAATCTAAAAGTCGTACTATTAATGATGATGATTCCAAATATGGAGTTTGATTTTGATAACAATTGATTTTAAAGTTTTTAAACGTGCGCTACACGTGCAAAACGAAGCAAGCACATGAAACCCGCTTTGCCTTGTTGAAGCACGTTTTGAAGCACTTAAGCAAAGCGATCAATTATGTTAATAGTTTAGTGAGAGGGAATAAAGGTTTACTGAATTAATTTTACTTGTGTTATGAAGCTTGAGAATTATACTTTAAATTTTCGATTTTGTTTTGAGTTAAAAGGTTTTTTTATAATTTCTAAGTTTTTAATTATTGCGCACCCTTACCTTAGACCCCTTCTCTTTAGATTTATTGTTGCAGCCCCTTGCTGCCTAAAAAGATATCTTTCTTCATCTTCTTCCTGCTCATGACAAGGACCAAAGACCAATAGAAACTACCTACTTTCTTCTCACCACCCAAATTCGGTTCGCTGATGGTTGCAGTATTTCCCGTGTTCCACAGAGTTCTACCCTCTTCCGCTTTGACAAGACTCGTAGGTCTACCATCCATGGGTTGGTTCCTATCGCTCGAACAAAGACCAACCGGCTGAACCCGCCCTCGCCAACAGAATGGTGCATGGGCAGCTTCGCATGAGCCCTCATGGGTCGGTTATGTAATAACAGAGAGTTTAAAAAATAGAAATAATATTAATAAAATTAAAAAATGGGCGTGGATGGTTTAGAAGAGATGCGCCCTGTCTTAAGAGATTTATTTCACATTATTTTCACATTTTCCCCTCATTCGAATCAACCAAACCGAAACACGAAAAGGAATGTAGCAAAAGAGAAGAAACTACGGCGTTCTAATTTGGAGGAGAAAAGAAAATTACGCGTGGGGATTGCGTCGAAACCTGAGTAAGGAGGATGTTGCTCAATCTTGTGTCACACAATGTCGCAGTTGAAGCAAAGATGTCTCATACCCTCGTACTCAATCAGCTGGAAGAATTTTTACTATCGACCTCTCACCCACACACCGGTCGCGAGTTGTATCGATAAGTCCAATCGAACACAATCTCGAACTTAAATGCTTCTTCCCCAGTTGTTGATTTGGGTATCCGACCATAAAGCCCGGGTTACTTATATGTCATAAAAGGTCTTTGAGAAAGGACGCATTAAGTATGATGGTTGATAGGAAAATAACAAGAAAACAAAAGTGCATACTAGCAGCAATCTTCCTTGAAATGCAAATCTAAAACTCGTACTATTAGAGATGATGACTCCAAATATGGAGTTTGATTTTGATAATAATTGATTGCAAAGTTTTTAAACGTGTGTTGCATGTGCAAAATGAAGCAAAGCACATGAAGCCCGCTTTGCTTTGCTAAAGTGCGTTTTGAAGCACTGAAACAAAGCGATCAATTATGTTAATAGTTTAGTGAGAGGGAATAAAGGGTTACTGAATTAATTTAACTTATTTTATGAAGCTTGAGACTTATGCTTTAAATTTTAGATTTTGTTTCGAATTAAAAGGTTTTTTTTTTAATTTTTAAGTTTTTAATTATTGCAGTAAACTACTAGAAATTGTTCGAAATTATTATTTGCAGGTCCGCCCACAATATTTACCTTAAAGTTAGATATTGCACCACATTATTTTCATTTTTTATATCAACCTTTAAGTCAACCTTTATACTTTATAATTATTAATGAAGATATTAATACATTAATAGTTTTATATAACCTATAAATGCTTTAGTTAATAAAAAACGTTATTTTTTGCTCTAAGCTTTGTACTTTGAAGCAAAAATAAAGTCTTGTGCATCGCAGTTACGTTTTGCACTTTGATAAAACCAATTGATTTAGAGTTGTGATAGAGAATTTGAGAAAAACATGAAAAAGATTATGGAGAAAAAGAAAAGAAGAAACAGCTTTACCTAGAAGGGAGAGCAAGCATCAAATCTTAATTTTAATAATCATAATCAACTATTTCATGAAACTTGGCATTATAATAACATTCAAAAGGTATCAGCCTTAGAATGTTTCCTTTAAAAAGCTTGGCCTTATAATAAAATATGCTACAATTTAGACATGACAACATTGCCCATGCCAATAAAAATAAAACTAACAATAAGAAATGACAAAGAAATGTGGTAATAATGACATGAAAAATGCAATGACATGACATATCATCAATTTTTTCTACATCATAGCCTCTTCGACGTATAAACATTAGAAAGTCCCCACAGCAAAAACAAAAGTATAAAAATCATTTTGTAATACTAAAATAAGAAAAAGATATAATTAAATTAATTGACCAACAGAATGTTGATCAGTATAAACTTGGATTTGAAAAGTGGAGTGATACCTTAAGGAAAAGACCCAGTTGCATCCTTCCTCCATGCTTTAAATGGTGATCTTCTCTTAGCTTTTAGTATATATAATATATAGAAAACACCAACAGCAGGATATGAACTCACAAAAATTAGTTGGAAATCATTTAAAGCAAAACGTAATACAAAACATGGGCAATAAACAATTATTACCCTATTAAATAAATGACGCATGCAAAGAGGAAATGAAGTGTTGGCTAACTGATCAATGTCTTTTAATGATATATCAGTAAACTCCATCGGCTGCAGAATGCCAACAGATGATGAAAACTAAAGTTATTATAGACAACAAGCCAAGAAATTTGGGAGACCATGAAAAAAAGTAAGTTGAGCCACCATAGTATCAATTTACCTGAGAATAGTCAGGCCCTAAGTAACATGAACCTAGTGCTTCAACAATCTAAAATAACAAAAAACTACGTAAGTACAATTTATAGATAGATGTTTCTTCCCTTCAGTTTCATACTTTTGAAATCCATCGAAGATTAGCTTATTGTATAAAAGTACTCACAGGACTCAATCTATCCTTCTCTTGTTCCCTAAGGGTTGAAGTCCACTTTCTGTCAAAAGAAGCCAACAAAAATGTCTAAAAGTTTTGTAAAGAAAAGTTTTAAATTTTTTAATGAGATTTTATGCATGTGAGCGTGTTTTGAGCGCTTGAACATCTATGGTCAATATGATTAAACCAGAAGCATCCCGAGCCCTTCAGGCGCTATAATCAAAAGCTTTTTTATTCCACTAAACTGTTAAAAAACATGATGTAAAATGTTTATTATGGTCAAAATGATAACTGCTTGCGTAATTTTCCTTACCGCTTCCATTTGAGAAAAGATACAAAGAAAAAACATAAAATAACTGATTTAAGTATGCTCAAACAATGCTAATAAAAGAAACCTATTTAAACAAATTTGACAATTTATAACTAGTCGTTCCAATAAGTTTAACCCATGAAGACCTTGTAGGTGAGTTGCTTACACCAACAAACTTTAAATTGATTTTACTAACCACACACCCATTACTCAACTAACAAATCCATTTATTTTTTCTTCTCTATTCATTCACATTAGCATAAACATCTCACACAATCACATGTGTGGCTGTGTTTTGTTGTAACTGTTCATTTCTTCATGCTTTGGGTGTACGTTTGAGTTAGCAAGGATTAAAAAAATTTAAAAAAAAAATCTCCTAAGGTGTCGCCACACAATTAATCCCTCTGCTCCACCCCTTCTAATGTGTTGAAAATAACAGACTTGAAATTGCTTTTCCGTCAACTTGGAATTGTTGTATTATTTCAAATCAAGTCAGCTCAAATCAAAACAATTTTGATTTTGAATGAATTCAACTAAAGCTACTTCCAAAATTTCAAGTTCAAGTTGACTTCCCTCAAACTCGATCAATGTTGTTTAAGTGCTCTTAAAAGTGGATAAAGCACTCGCCCTGGCTACTCAAGCAAAATAAGGCAAGGCATAGTGCATAACAAATCCTTCAAAAAAGCATTATTACTAAGATGTGCCTAGGTGATTGCCTAATAGTGGATCGCTAGGTAATGAGGAAGGCAACTGGTCTTGATTTGAGAGACCTATGCGGATAGTATAAATCTTGAATACATGTTATTTTTAATGATGATAATCAACATGGGAATAAAAGAAAAAAGCATCAAGGCTCATGAAACAAGTTTGCATCCTTAAAAAAGTAAATAAATATAGGTGAAAGAACCTAAAGTTTTAAAGGAGTGGATCATCAGATTAAAATAAACGAAACAAAGAAAATAAATCAAGGGATGTGCAGGTGCAAATTCAATCAAAAAGGAGAACATAAATAATGATAAATATAAAATCACTAATAGTAAAATATTAAAATTATTTTTAGTTCGTGCATGCTATAAATTTATGGAGTTTAACTAAATTTATTTATAATAATATCAAATTTTTTAACTTCAAATGCAATAGAACTTGAAAAATAATAATTTTGGCCCCGCATGATACGGTGTAAAAATTAATATTTGATATTCCTTGAAAATATCCAACAAATTTAAATAAATTGATATGTGGAATAGCTATTTCTTTTCATGCTCCTCGCTGATCTTGAAAAAAACACCTTGGTGACTGCTAGAGCATTTAGTATCTATATCACCTTAAGTGGCCTTATGCTGAAATAACACCGAACATGACTCAATATCAGGCCTAATTGACATGCATGATTCTAATTATCAAGTTAATGAAATATTAAATCAAAATTAGATATATACATTTGAATGGTAAAGATTAAGCAATGCACTGGAAGAGCTCACAAAAGACACAAATTTTATCATTTGTAAACATATTACCAAATAAAAAGATACATAAATTTTGTCTATTTTCAAAAAATTTCACTTTTAGCGATTTTTATAATAGATTAGATGCTAAAGAGGGTGAAAATTTTATGTATAAATAGCCAAACAAAGAGAAAAAGATAAGTAAAGATTTAATTTAAGTGTATACAACAACAACAACAACAAAGCATTAATCCCACTACGTGGGGTCGGCTACATGAATCCTTTTTCTCCATTGCGTCCTATTTAGTGTCATATTTTCATTTAGTTCTAGTAAATTAAGATCATTTTTAATACAATAAGCCCAAGTCTTCCTAGGTCTACCTCTGCCTTTCTTAACACAAGTCGAATTTAAAACATCTACTCTCCTAATCGGATCATCTAATGGTCGACGTTTAATATGACCAAACCATCTAAGACGACTTTCTCTAATTTTGTCTGTCACAGGAGCTACACCAACCCTATCACGAATATATTCATTCCGCATTTTGTCTCTAAGTGTAAAGCCACTCATCCACCTAATCATTCTCATCTCGGCAACACTTAACTTATTATTATGCTTCTCTTTTAAAGGCCAACATCAGCGCCATAGAGCATTGCAGGTCTCACCACCGTCTTATAAAATTTTCCTTTCAGTCTTAACAGTACTTTTCTATCACACAAAAGGCCCGAAGCATTCCCCGACTTCAACCAACCAACTTGAATTCTACTATTAACATCCCCATCTATATCACCATCGCTTTGGACAACGGACCCAAGATATCTAAATCGTTCAATAAAAAAAGAAAAATAAAAAAAAACATTTTTTTAGAGGAAGATATTCAATATAGGTGAGTGAGTTATTTTGATAAACTTTTCAATGATATTTCGGAAAATATGATCAACCATAGTGATTTTAATATCAATAATAATAATAAATAATTTATTTTTAAAGTCACATTAGTAAAAAAGAAGTTGATGAGGCTTTAAAAAAACAAAAGGTGGAAAATCAATAGGACCTGATGATATCTCAATTAAAGTGTGGAAATATTTAGGAGATTTGGGAGTTTCTTGGCTTTCTAAATAATATTTTAAGAACTAAAAAGACGCCCAAAAAGTGGAGAAAAAGTATTTTGGTCCCCATTTTTAAGAATAAAAAGGATGAATGTGCAAATTATAGAGAAATTAATCTGATGTGTCATACTTTAAATTATGGGAGAGGATAATTGAACAGAGGTTAGAACTTGATACAAAAATTTCTCATAATCAGTTTGGATTTATACTGAGCAGGTCTACTATGGAAGCTATACATTTATTGAGAAATTTGATGGAGAAATACAGAGAGAACAAGAATGATCTACATATGATTTTATTGATTTAGAAAAAGCTTACAATAAGGTTCTAAGAGAAGTCCTTTAGAAAATTCTAGAGAAGAAAAGTGTTGACATGACTTATAATCAAGTCATTAAAGATATGTATACTAGAGTTGTTACTTGTGTTTGAACAGAAAGAGGATTGACCAAGTATTTTCTTAGTTCAATTGGATTACTTCAAGGATCAGCTTTAAGGCTATATCTTTTTGTTTTAGTTATGGATGATCTTATTGGACATTTACAGGAGGATGTAAGGATGTACCTTGGTGTGTACCTTGGTGTATGCTTTTAACTGATGATATCCTTCTTGTGGATATGGCTAGAGTAAGAGCACAGCAAAAACCTAAATTATGGAGGTTTACATTGGAGTCCATTCATTTGAGTAGATATACAGCTGAATATATGGAATGTAATTTTAGTAATAGTAGCTCTAGCGACAAAGTTACAACTATGGGTGATCAAATCATTAAAATGTGTGAATGTTTTAGATATCTCGGGTCTATTGTTTAAAGTGATGGTAATATAGATGGGCATGTCATTATTAGAATTCAATTTGGTTGGTTGAAGTGGAGGAATGCATCGGGCCTACTATGTGATAGAAAAGTACTGCTCTAAAAGGAAAATTTTATAAGATGATGGTGAGACCTACAATGCTCTATGGCATAGAATGTTGGCCTTTAAAAAAAAGAATAAAATAAAGTTAAGTGTTGCTCATATGAGAATGCTTAGGTGGATGAGTGGCTTGACACTTAGAGATAAAATGAAAAATAGTTATATCTGTGATAGGGTTGTTGTAGCTCAAGTGATGGACAAAATTAGAGTCATCATAGATGGTTTGGTCGTATTAAACATCGGTCATCTGATGATCTTGTTAAGAGAGTAGATGTTTTAGATTCGACTTATGCTAAAAAATATAGAGGTAGACATAAAAAGATTTGAGCATATTTTACCAAAAACGATCTTAATCTATTATAAATAAATAAAAATATGACGCTCGACAGGATGCACTGGAGAAAAAAATTCATGTAGCCCACCCCACTTAGTGGGATAAAGGCTTGTTGTTGTTGTTGTGGATACCAATATATAAGCTTGAAAAGCAATTAATGAAAGGTCAAGATTTTGATTACATTGCATTATTGGACATCACAAAGAAATTAGAAAAGTCATCTAAAGTCTTTCAAGCAACCCTAGGCATTCTTCAAGTTTTAAAACATAATTTTACATCAAAATGAATAAGAACTTTCCAAAGTATTCTAAGAAGAAAAAAAATAACTGAAATTCCACTATTAAAAGCACTATTTAGACATCAAACATGAGAACATAAGATCCTATCAAAGATTCTATTCCAGCTTACAAGTTCGACAAGATTTATAGGAGCAACCCAAAAAATTTTTTTCTGAAAATAAGAGGCTATGAGCAAAGCATCTTCACAAACAAGAGATTCCATGCCATAGTATTTAATATAGTTATAGCCGTGCATCGAACGTTTTCATGGAAAATAGCAAAGAACACAGCAAAAAGAGAGAACATAATCATTGAAGACTTCTATGTTTTGATAAATTAACCGGACATATTCAGAAAATATAAAACTCGTTACAATATGTTACCATAGTAACTAATAATTTGATAATAAATTCTGATTAACATCTTCAAATACCTACTCAGTGTGAAAGAAACATTACTAAATAGAAGTCAATTAATGGAAAGATAAAGAACCTGTTGGTCAACACAAGAGCCTTAGAAAGGTTGCTGCGAAAATGGGAAACAACTATAGATGTCACCTATTTCAAGAACAAAAAGGTCATCTATTGTTAGGAAAATTTCCTTACAAACAAGAAATTTTTAAACCAAAAACTTCACAAGATTCATGCACCTGATTCATAGCAACATATGCATTACCCTTGAGCAGAAATACTCTGCGATTAGCAACAAGTTCTGGGACTTCTTCGAACGGAACCTATTAAACCAATCCAATTAACACTCACAAGCAAATATATTCAAAAAAATCATCAAACAAAATAAAAAATTAGATTGGAAAAAATTTACCTTGAAGAAGATTGTGTCAACTGCAAAGGAAGATAATTGAAGATGTCAGCAAGTAGGAATGAAAATATTTAAAAAAAATGGGTATAGATGCTTCAAAATATCAAACAATTCACATAGAAAAGAGAAAAACTTTGAATACCAAAGCTTGCCCAAGAATCTCCATAAAATAGGCAAGCTGAAGGAAAAATACGTTGCTCCCTACAACTTGGGAGTGTCAAAAATTGACCCAACACGCTAACTAGACTCGAACTCGCCTCGTAAAATCTGGGTTTGGAGCGCCAAAATAAGCAGCAGTAAATGCTAGAATTTTCTCAACTACCACTTTGAATGTTAAAGAATTTGAAAAAAGTAGTTCCAGCTGCATTTTTTATTTTAAATCAACTTGGAATAATTCTATTTGATTAGGGTGCATCACATTCTTTCATTTTCTGAAGAATTTTCTGTCAGCTTATCTGTTAATATTGTGCATTTCACTCTTGCTTTGTGTCATCAAGCCCTCGAGAAATAATTTATATGCAAATAAGAAATATTTTGTGCATGTTGATATATCTGACAGGAAGCTGCTAGTAGAGTTGATAATAATATCAATTCAAACTTTTAATATTATCGTGGAGATAGATTGGTTAGTAAAGAATTCTGCTACAATTGAATATCTACTTATAGGATGACTCTGATGGAAATGTAGGAATTGAAATGTCAATTATAGGAATTGATAAATAATGACTTTGAATGACAAAGCAATTCACCATGGAGTGCTTCAGTATTATTTGTCAAGAAAAAAAAGGGTTTATGCGACTATGCACTAATTATAAAGAGTCGAATGAGGTGACAACCAAGAACAAATATCCATTGCCCGGGATCGATGGTTTTTTCTTTATCAGTTAGAAGGTGTTATCATAATTTTCATGATCAATCTAAGATCGAGATATCATTAGGTTAGAGTTAAGAAGACAGATACAACCAGGAAAGCTTTTGGGACCTGATGAATCGAATATTCAAGCATTATGTAACATATATACCATATTTTTCTTAGTAATGCCTGTTGGCCTAACAAATGATCTTGCGATTTTTATGGGCCTGATGAATGAATATTCAAGCATTATGTGAATCAATTTTATAATAACTAATTTTTTTTAAATCAATTAAAAAATTTTGATAACTTTAAAATGTAACCAAATTTTGCATCCTTCAGATTTCAACCAAAATAGTTTTATAAAATTTTACCCGTTAAATTGATCAATTCGATATATAACACAATGTAAATGATATGGGAGATATAAAATTTATAAAATATTGAGTTAATTAAATTAATTAAACCTTAATCCCTTCCTAATCCCGCTTTACTGTTCTCACCGACCTACTCATGCAATATTTTTTATTCTAGGATGCGTTGAATGGGGGGATCCTCTCTAGAGCCTCTGGTTTCTTCTCCCTAATCTCGGTTTCATTTGCTCAAAGTGCCTCTCCCGAATTTCGATCATGCTCAAAAGACTCTAACTTTTAGTTACTGTAGCCAGACGTGAACAGAGACAAGCAAGCGACCTGTCGAGTGTCGCAAGGTCACCATATAGGTTTTGAGGATGAAATCAGCAAGCATGAACCCCTTTCACATTATTTGAGACATTATTTTCCTTCCTTAGACTTGTATTTTGAAATTTATCATGAATAGTGTATCTTTTTGTTTATGGTTGTCGTAGCGGAGATGAGTTTGTGCCTGAAGCAATGAACTTGGTTTGTGGGCTTCATTAAGAGCTATTAGCCAGAAATCATCAAAGATAGGAAGAAAAGGTAAGAAGAATTGACAGGATAAAATAAAGTTGGTTATGTCGGGAAGACTTTTTGTGGTAAAAAAAGTTATGTTTTGGTTAAATCATGAATATATAAATTCCAAATTGTTTACCCGAGACGGCGAGCCCAAGACAAGCATGTGGAAGCCATTCGTAAGGCAACTCCATAACTTCAAGTAAATTAATCCTATGCTAAATGTTTTATATGTTATTAATATCAACATAAAGATTGTCACAACGTCCAGACAGTTACTGAATATTGAGAATCTAATGTGACAACGGATGTGAGTAATTATATTTTTAAATTTTAACAATATTTTTTCTTTCAAAATATATGTTTGACTCCATATATGCTCTATTTTAGTTAGATCATTCATATTATTAGAAGGAAAGATATGCATTATAAGCATGATAAGAAAGATGTGCATGATTTGAAAGATATATATGATACAAGAGATATGCATTAGATAAAAGATATGAATGATATTAGAGATATGCATAAAGTTCATAGCCAAGTATCACCACAAGAGCAGTGAACTTTACATGCTTTTTAATTTTTCATTTCCTACTTCCCTAATTTTTTTTCATTTTCCTTCTTGAGAACATAGTGAATGATGTGAAAACTACTAATTAAATTATGCTCTGAAGGATTCCTACTAGGCAAATTTATTAGAGTTACCAAGTAAACATGATCTGTCACATATAACAACACATGTTAAATTTTCTTAGAATAAGCATATTTTTTCAAATGATCGAGCAATGCTTCATCCACATCATCACTAGTCTTATCAAAACTTTTTAGGGACTTTAAGAGTCCTCATTCTCCATTTGTTTCAATTGAGGTTTGTATTAGATGTAAGCCAGCATTGCTTATTTCAAGCCGGGATGACATGAGTAGAGGGATGATGTTTACATAGACAACCATTCACAAAACCTAACCAAAATTTAAAATCAGAATCCAATAATGCACTTAATATGATTTTTTTCAATTTAATTTGAGATAAAAGTTCAGAGAGGTCAATATAAGATTTTGATTTTGACCAACTTATTGATAGTCACAATGGTAGTGGTGATGTTGTGCCAAAAAAATTTATATACTTTTCAATACTACAGCCAAGTAATATGGTTATTTTCAATGAAAGATCTACAGGATAGAAGAATCCCAACTAATGTGATTAAGTAATACTAAACTTCCAAGAAAAACTATGTTTATATAAAAACTTTAATAAAATACATTGAAAAAGTTACGTGGGTTAGCAAACACTTACCATTAGGAGATTGGCCGATAGAGCGAGAGACTTGAACCAACTTATCTTTCACACTCTAATTAAAAGAACAAAAGAATCTTTGTAACAAACTACGACCAAAATGCCAATCATCCTTTATATTTAACTAGCATGACTGACATCGGAAAGCATACCTCGTATTCCGCATAATTCAGTGCTTTATATGGAAGCTGAAACTCAGCCATAAGCATTCGCTACAAAATTGAAGTATGCATGTGAAAAAACAAACGTGACTTAGCTAAAAATACCTCTCCTACAATAAAGAATACCTGCCTGGGATTCAGGAGTTTCTAGACGAAAGCGGTAACGGAAAAGGGTCGTCTCCATGGAAAGAAACCATTTCCTCAGTTCATCCCTAAAAATATGGCAATCAAATCAAAGTAAATAAATCAAATAAAAGTAGGAGGGAAATCGTCAAGAGTTTATTTGGAAGTCGTACACTTACGTTCGGCAATACACAAGACGAAGCACAAAATGTGAGACAACATCCTTGTTTATGAGCTGCGTCGCATCCGGATGCCTCATATTTGTTCTCCATAGCTCATTTGCCTAAAATTCATCAAAAGTGCAAGAATAAGCGCTGGATCCATCTAATCGGCAAATCATAAATTAACAGCATCTAAAATACCATTGTTTCCATTTCATCCGGCCTCTTCCCGCGGGACAACCCATTCGAAATTCCTTTGAGGACTGCATAGGACCCACTCAAACCCTCATTAATAGATCAGTATCAAATCCTTAAAACACTGGAAACATGCCTTCAACCTAATATTTCTGTTCAAAACTCTAGAAGCACAACTAGGGCCAGAACATGTACAGTGAAGTCAAAGTGTGAAATTCAATACCGCGAAGCCGATCAATGGCATATAGCTCGATATCATCAAGCCGGACCTCCAGGTTAGGAGCGCAGCGGTAAATGGATAGGTTCGACGGGGCTTCCGCGGTGGTTTTCTTCTGGGATCGGATGATTTCCATTCCTTTGGAGACACTTCGCAATAGCAAAAAAGCGGAAGGAGAGCAGGAATAGACTTGCGAGCGCGACTTAATAAATTAAGGCCTTTATTTGGCGGGAAACAAATTTTCGCTCCCGAATCTCAGCGATTTGGTTGAGGTGCCTTCAGCATTTTCACCGTGAAGTTCTTAAAAAGAGTTTTTCCGGGGCCCTCTTTTAAATAAATTCTTTTCCAATCAGATTTACCAAATTCTAATTTACATCACAAAGTAACAGAACATGAGTAAAATAAAATAAAATACAAAAAAAAAAATTGATTTAATAGAGTGTTAGTGTTGAATCCTAAATTGCTCAGCAAAATCACGTCCAAAAAATAGAGTGTATAGAGGAAAAACACACTAAGAAATTATGGAATAGTGAATTGTAGAATGGAAGAACCTAACTTTTTATTCATAAAAGTATCTAGGAGATGATTAAAATGCATATACACATTAATTGGCTGAGGAAACTTTCGATCGGTCATACCATGTCTGTTTGTTTAGTTTTGGCTGGTGGAACGATGTGAGCACCACCTGGATGTTGTTTTACTGAGCATATCTTTTGCTTGACCCTGGTCTTCATACAATCATCTTTCGTCCTTTAACATAGGGTATTTTTACTTTGTACGGCCTATTATGTCGATCAGACAATATTTAAAAGCAGTCGATCAGACAATTTTGCCCTTCTTCTAGTCCAGCATTGATTTATGATCCAATAAATCGAGTTACTCACATTAACCAAGTCTTCGCATCCTTGACTATGGACTGCACCTCTTTGTCATGTGTTCATATCTCTTAACTTCCAAGATTTATGTTGACACAATTCAGTCATTCATATTTAGTTCCCTAATTCTCTTATTCTTTTGAAAGCGACAGTTACGATAAAGAAAGAGAATTAAATGCTAAAATAGATTTATTTATCTTGTGAACGGTATTTTTAATAATTGAACTCCCCTAGTTTTACGTCTATTGACGTCCTATAAATAGGTTGCGACCAAGGGCGGAACCAGCCTCTTTTATTTTGTAGGGGGTGCAAACTATCTTTTTAGACCCAACCTGGGAGGGAGGCAGGGCAATGAAGGACAAAACAATATTTTGGGAGGAACAAAACTAATATTTTAGGAGAGGCAAAAGACTAAATTATTCTCCCATATAAGTAAAAATTTGAATTTAAAGAGGTGCAATTGCCCCACTGGACCCTTCATGGGTCCAGCTCTGGTTGTGGCTAAGTGCTTCTGCATCCGCACTCTCCTCTTATCTAATGCTTTGATCAATTTTTGTTGGGGCATTCTTATGGCGAGTAGTAAGAAGAACAATGTTGATGATACATAAGATGGCATTCTAATGAAGATCTTTGAGTTGCTAACCATAAAAATCCACCCTGCAAGCATTCCTGTGAAGAGTTGTCTATCTGAGATGGGGTCGACAGGTGGGAAGAGTGGAGCCCTTAAGGGAGTAGACCAGCAAAGAAGAAGTAGGTGAAACAATTAGCTTACAAGAAAGGGTGACCGGATGAGTAGAATGACGAGGACGGATCGTCGGATGACGTCCCACTATTATGTCAAGGGTTGAGTAAAGGTTCAACCTTCCACTCTGTTGGAGCATTGGCCAAATCTATCATTTATAAGAAAAGGGACACTCGGGGAACTTCTAGGGTTTTACTGCTTATGGGCAAGGATGTAGCTTGTCCTTCTTAGATGGAGGGATGAGAGCCACAAACGCTCCACCTGCACCCGGTGAGATTTTCCCGTCCTTTCTCTTGTTTGATTTGGATTGACTCCTTAGTATGAGGAGTCTGGTCTTTTGATCTTCTTTGAATGATCTAGAGAAGTTTCATGTTTTGTTTAACTTTGCCTTAGTTCTGGTAGACGATCCAATCCGCATTTTTACTTTATCGGAAGCTATTAGTGACTAAGACTCCTTGGAAGGTTGCGAAGGACTGCCAATTATTGGTGAAAAAGAGTCAACTGACTCTATGGTTTGTTGCATGGACGAGATAGCAGATTTCTTTGCTCATGAGTTTGAATGGATTTGCCTAGACACGATGACCGACATGGATTTGCCTCTTTCTTCACCTCCCTACGGGAGCAATGAATGGATTCCAATGCAAGCGAACGAGCCTAAAACCTTTGTTTTGATGGGTGTTTTTAAATTGCTCGCCATAGAGGGGATTCTTTAGATTATTCATCTAGGAGGGGAGTTTTTTGGTTGATTGCTCCAAAGGGGAGAGTTTTTTTAATCTTTTTAATGGAACTCAAAGTCACCGGCTTATTTATTTAGATTTTTGTATGACTCCCTTTTCCAAATAATTCTCCTTCTCAAATCATCAAAATGATCCAAAGGGGAGAGGAATAAAAATACATGGATAGGCAAACAAATAGTAAAAATAAAGATGGAAAACTTATGTGAGGTTAATTTTGTGCGATGGGTCAGGAATGTATTTCCAGGATGAGACTGGATCAAAACATTTGAAAACACGTCATGCACGATGATAATCTTTGCATAAGTTACCCATATCCAAATAACCAATAGAACATTTTGTTTTAAGGTCAAGAGCAAATCCCAAAGGGATGTATCTTTTGAGTTATTTACATCTTGGGGGATACCAAGAATACTCTCAAATGATAGGAGTCTTGTTAATCCTTTTATGATAAACTAGTTGAAAGGAAAAAACGAAATGACTATTCTGAATAAGAACTTCTTGGTTCTTTGAAGCTTATACTGAGACGTAAGGGCGGCAAGAAAGTATCTGACATCCCAAATGGACAAAAACTAATAGACAACCAAGACCTTATGAGGCAGTCAGATCATTAAGCAGGAACAACCCATCGTTTTGACGCCATGTTGGGCCAAAAGGGCAGAGGGCGAATCACTGTATCCCAAATGCACAACAGTCTGTCAGATAAATGAGGCCAACTAGATGACTATTTTGGTTCCTTTTGATAAAAAATCAAAATTGTGAACTTCTTTATTGTCATATAATTCTCTTTTTTGAATAAGTCTCTATTTTGGATCATATGGATGATACAAAGAAGAAAGGAATGGAAAAAAGTAAGGAAATACAACAATGACAAACAAATTTTAAAAAAGAATGTGGAGAGGCTATATGTGGTAAACTTCATATGTTAGGTCAAGAGTGTACATTTAAACGAAATCAGATAGAAACATCTTAAACCAAATATCCATGAAAGAATACATACATAAGCTACCCAAACTAGAGAGCCAAATTTATGAATTTGTTCTGGGGTCAAGTGTGCTCCTAAAGGGACGTACCCCATTTAGTTAATTACATCTTGGGGGTTACCCAAGAATACTCTTAATTGTAGGAGTTCTGCTAACAATTGAGTGATGACTAGCAAGGGTGTCATAATGGATGGTTATTTTATAGGAAAAATCTTGACACTTTTGAATGATCACTGATACACCATAAATATATGTCTTTTTATACCTATATTTATACTCATTTTTGGTGATATTGTACTTTAAAGGAAGGTATTTTTCATGTTTTATTACAGGTTGTTGATTTTTAGGACTTGGAGCAAAAATGAAGAAAAAAGATTAAATTTAGAGTTAAAATAGAGTTTTTGAAAAATTGTTAAGCGCCGACGATGCCAGACTGGGTGTCGACGGCGCCGTTTGACAGAAAACACAGATTTAATTAGATGGTCACTGGCGTCGACGGCGCCAATGTAGGTGCAGACCCTGTTTCTAGAAGATTCGATAAATTTGGATGCTTTTTTGAAGAGTTTTTGGATGCACCTATTGGAAAACCGATCTTATGCTCTATTTAGAGCTGAAATTGATCAGAAAAGAAGTTCTTCGCACTCCTTCGCTCGCTCTTGGTCTTCCTTCACATCTCTTCGCCCTCTTTGTGCCATTCTATGCCATTCCACTCCATTAATCATTTATTTTCTTTATATTTTTTAGTTTTTGTGGTGAATTTAAGTGTTCATTAGTCTCTAAGAGTGTTAGAGAGGGAGAGAAGTGAGAGATTTCTTTGAGAGATTTCTTCTTCTTGAGATTACAAGGGATTTGCTTTGAGAAAAAGTTTTAGATAAGTGTTGCTTTGAGAAAAAGTTTTTCCTATAGCTTGTATGCCATTCACCACATTCACAGTTGATTGTATTATTGTATGAACTTCCTTTTATATATG